GGGGGGGCTTCCTTTTCAGGCCTAGGCGCTGTGACGAAGCTAGAGATCCGCTCGGTGCCAGGGGCCGTTGAACGCAGCACCACCCTCGTCCAATCGCCCTCAGGGGTGGAATTCCTCAAGTAGACCAGGTCTGTCGCGTTGGCCTGGGCTCTGAAGTTCCATCGTGGGGTTTCATAAGGATCAAAGATCTCCTCCAGACGAGTCTACCTACAACAGAGTCTGTAGGGTTTAGAAGTTTAGAGTTTAGGGTTTAGGGCACAGTACTGCAGAACTCAGCTTCCGTTCCGACGACGGCCGCAACACCGTCAGCGATCTTCACGAGATTCGCGACCCATGACTCCTTCAGACTCGAGCGTGCTTCCAGGGTCTGCCACAGAGCAGCGGAATCCCGGGTGGCAGCCGAATAGTTGAAGAAGTAATACGTATCCTCGGCTGTTTTTGGAGGGGTTTAGGGGTTTTTTGAGGCCCCAGAGCTTGTTCAGCCTGAAAAGTCTACTAGATGCTAGACTAGCCTATTGCATGTGCAGGAAAGGCCGAGCAGCATCGAGCACGCAAAGACCACTCCTGCCCCAGGGAAACATTTCCGAAACGGCAAGGCCACCCATCCTCACCTGAAGTGGCATTCCTAGCCAGGAAAGAGGGCCATCCGTGAAACGCGTGAGGCGGACGGTTTCGCTCGTTGCCACGGCGATGACATTCCTAGGATCCCGAGTAAGGTATTGGGGTATTTTGATAAGGAGCCGCAGACCACAAAAAGGGACAAATTTTGCCCACTGGGAGGCCTAAACCCTAAACCCCAAACCCACCTAAACCCTAAACCCTAAACATACACACACACACACACGCTGAGACCTAAACCCTAAACCCACTGGGGAGACCTAAACCCTAAACCCTAAATCCCACTAAAAAAGACCTAAACCCCAAACCCACTAAAGTAAGACCTAAACCCTAAACCCTAAACCCACTAAAGAAAGACCTAAACCCTAAATCCTAAACCCACAAAAAAAAGGACCTAAACCCTAAATCCTAAACCCACAAAAAAAAGGACCTAAACCCTAAACCCCAAACCCACAAAAAAAAGGGACCTAAAACCCTAAACCCACTGAAAAAGGACCTAGATTCCCTGGTAAAATCACGCCCGCTGTTGGCTGGACCGGCAGTTCGGAGAGGGGAAACTCCTGGGAGGTCATCGGTCCCAGGGTGCCTTTCAGAACCTGGGCTCTTGTCAGGGTTTAGGGTTTAGGGTTTAGGGTTTAGGGTTTAGGGTCAAAGAAACCCTATTATTCACTAGATCCCCATTATGGTAACTTGAATAAAATCCCTTAGCGAGAACCAAGGAACCGTAAATCGATGAATGGCGGTGTCTGAGAAAACGAGCAAGAACTCCTGGGTTGCTGTTATAAGGAACTTAACTTAAATTGCCATACTGGGGACATGGTACTTTCCGAAAATTCGGGTACCTTATTTTTTGGGGGTCCTTATAATAAGGATCCTACTATTTTGTGTACTGTATTAGGGTCCCCTATTTTCGGAAACCCCCACATATAGTCAGTACTAAGACACTAAGCCTGTAGTAACTTAACTTGAGTTCCTTGTAACAGCAGCCCAGATTCTGTTCCGTTGTGCATCACTGTCTCAACGATCATCTCCAGGCCGTCTGCGCAAGGATCGGACGGCGGTAGCATCACTTGGGCACGTCCGGATGCATTTGCAGGCACACCAGGCACGGATGTTCCACTCGACAGGGTAGATCCCGGGAACACCGCGACTTCAAGAGAGCATGCACCTCTCCTCCCAAACCGGGAGACTATGGCCAAACCGCCATCATGCAGCGCTGCCGGCAGATCCACAGAGGTTCCAAACGGCTGCTCGGGGCGGCTGAAAGGCTGAAGCGTTTGCATCCACACGTCGGTGCCGAGTTGGGATTCCAACGTATGAAGGACAATGAAACTGCACGACGACCAAGTCGCATTGCAGCTTTTCAACGCAAGACCTTTCTGTTCGGTCTTGCTGGCAACATCATCGGGGTGCCGTGCTTTCTTACAATTTTAATACTACTGTTCTGGCAACATTGTTACCCAATACCGCGTCAGTTCCTGTGACTCAGTTTTGATCTGGAGAACCCCCCAGTCTCCAAAATAAAGGTGGGGCGGCGACTACCGGAGAACCGAATCCTAAATCCCAAACCCTAAAAAGCCCTAGCCCTGAAACCCGGTTGCCTTCCGAAAGCAGCGCGACCGAAGGGTGAACGGCAAAGTTTCCTGGCCACTGCGCGATGGGACCGCGCCCCCAAAGCCTGAATTCTTGGGTATTTAGGGTTTAGGGTGTAGGGCTTATGGGTTTAGGGTTTCGGGTGTAGGGCTTTATGGGTTTAGGGTTTAGGGTGTAGGGCTTCTGGGTTTAGGGTGTAGGGCTTAAGGGGTTACAGGGTTTAGGGTCTAGGGTGTAGGGCTTCTGGGTTTAGGGTCTAGGGATCTGTATGTGCCTTTTGAAGGGCTTCATTGTTTGACAGGGGTCTCAAAGCGGTGTTGCTAGGCTTGGGGAGCTCTGTAGCACTGGCTTTGCCTTCTTTGTGGTTTGTTTAGGGTTTAGGGTTTAGGGTTTAACAACCACCCGGAAGCATTGCATCCGTATCCCATAAGAAGACCTGCGTCTGCGAGACCACGGCGAGCCCACTGCCTCGGCCGCTTTTCTTGAAGCGCATGTACAGTCAGGCTTCAAGGAACGAAAAACTAACCTGCGATGGTAAACCCTAAATCCTAAACCTTGAACCCTAAACCCTACACCCTGAACCCTAAACCCTAAAATCCCTAAACCTTGAACCCCAGAGTCATCACGAAATGCCTCCAAATTACTCAACTCCCGTATCCTGATGTCCTCCTCTGCCAGACAACCAATTGGGAGCTCCTGCGCAGAGTCCGTGCAATCCTCCGCTGCTGGACCATCACCTTGCCGGGCTCCTACCCTAAACCCTATAGTTTAGGGTTTAGGGTTTAGGTTTAGGGTTTAGGGTATAAACCCTAAACCGTAATTCTAAATCCTAATATAGAGTTTCGGGGAGAAGGATTCAGGCTGAATTTGGAGGATCAGGGGACTTAGTAAGTAGGGCTCTATGTAAGGTAACTACGGTTACGCCCACTTGCAACTCCAAGTAAAAGTACATATAACCCTACTTACTACGGGGCCCCCAAGAGACAGCACAAAAGCCCTAGAGCCAAGCCACAGATGAAGACAGAGTGGCATCCCGTCCTCGAGGACAAGGCGACCAGGGCCACGCGGCCGTCCCTGAGGGGCCGCATGGCCCAGGGCTTTGTCGTCCTGTTGGGGCTTCAGGTTTAGGCTCTACCTGTAACCGAAAAAACCTACCTTTTTCGGGTTCCTTTTTAGAGTTTCTATATATAATTCCTTCAAAAGGTAGGTCCTTTCGGTTACAGGTAAGGTCTAGGGTTGAGGGCCTAGGGTTTAGGGTGTCTGGGATTGTTCATACTGACTGCAAGACAGGGGGCTTTGCAAGAATCAAAGACTCCATCTGCAACCTGAGTGCCCTGACCCTTGAAGCGTGAGATCTGCCTGAACCCAAAACCAGCACAGGCCCAAACCCTAAACCCTAAACCCCAGAGAAAACCACAGTGAGGAAGCCGTGAAGACCTGGGGTTCAGGGTTTAGGGTTTCCTTAAGCCCCAAACCCCCCCAAAGTCCCAACCCTAGACCCTAAACCCCAAACCCTCGAAGTCCCGACCTGTTCTTCCACTCTCCCACCGGGAGGTTGTAGGAGAGCTTCTCCCGTAAGTTGTCCAGGCTCGTCGCCCAAGCACCAGCCACCAGCTGGCCTTCCGGGCGTACTTGGGGTTTAGGGGTTGAGGGCTTTTAGGGTTTAGGGGTTTTAGGCGTTAAGGTTTAGGGTTTTCCCTAATTAAACCCGAAAACCGGAGTACAGAAAACAGGTCTTTGGGCATGCTGCTGTATAAGAAGGAAACCTAGGGAATGCTATTACTAAATGTTCAGACGTCTATATTGAACCTTACGCCCAAAAACGCTACACCCCACACGCCCCAAAAGCATAAGCTCGATACGTTAAAAAGGGGTTCTGACCCTAAACCCTAAACCGTAAATCCTAAACCCTAAACCCTAAATCCTAAACCCTAAACCCTCAATTTCTATTCGCCTTGGGCCGTGATGGTGGAGGGTGTTCGAGTTCGAGAGGATGCGGTCCCCATGGGCTGCATGAATTCACCTCGGCTGGCTTCTACAAGGGGTGGACGGAGCTTTATAGGCAGTTTACGAAGGAAAAAATGTGCTTTACAGGTCTTAACCGGATTTTTGTTTTGAAAATTTATGGGAACCCAGTTTGAGCCAAGCCGTCAACAGCCTTCATTCCGATTGTGGCAACTCAATCTCGGCTCACTGACCAAAAGTTCTGTAAACCCTAAACCCAAAAACCCAGACCCTAAACCCTACACCCTGGACCCTAAACCCTGAACCTTAAACCCTAAACCCCAGACCCCCTAAAACCTGAACCCTAAACCTTATAAGCCGAGTTCCTACACAAGAACCCCGGTACTTCACCGGTTTAGGGTTTAGGGCCGGGGGGATCTGAAAGACGAAGCCTTGGCAGAGCCCTACACTCCACAGGCTCTGCAATGGGCCGTGGACCCCCAACTAGAAACTCTAAAACGCAACCTGTATTGAAAGAACAGATCTACTTGCTAATACAAGAGGCACTTGGGGACCTAAATGGGGGCCTTGATTCTCAGAGTTACCCAGCACCGGATAAATTCGAGCCACCATCCCTGAGCCGGAAGGTCGTGCCCCACGGGGCGCAGGAGATCAGCTGCACCGCGCAGCTGAGGTACAGTAAACATCGCCCGGACGGTGGGACAGACATCCTAAAACCCAGCCTTTTCAGCTGAAGAGCCCCTTAACCAGCAAACAGCTCTGAGGCTGTGGACTGCGGAACAATCATGGTATAGGTCCCTGGGTTCAGGGTTTGTGGGTTCAGGGTACCCTAAACCCTACACCCTATAGCTGAACCCCACAGGCCTTCCCAGCTTCGTCTTCCTCTAGGACCACATCAAGGAGATCCTAAAGGTGTAAGGGCCTTACAGATGAGATCAGGTTTCGGGGTATATTATAGTATGCTTATAGTAAGGACCCCAAAAGATTCAGTGTTTCGTTTCTTTTGCTTGCTGGAGGGTGTGTTCGGGTGTTTTTGCTTAGGGGTTTAGGGATATAGAGCATTACTAGTCGTTCAGGATTCCGTATGAAATCAACATCTTAGGGTTTGAGGGTTTAGGGTTTAGGGTTTTCCTTCTATGCGAGCACCAAGACCTCACCCCTGCATGGCTGGTGAAAGTCTCACGGCGGCAGGCAGTCCTTTAGGGGTCGTTGTGCTATGAGTTTTGGGTTTAGAGTTTGGAGAATCTGGGGACGAAGCAAGTTACTTTGCACTGGGGTTGCACATTCCGCAGCTGAGCTATCCATCTCAGACAAGGAAGCCTCTTTCTTGAAGCAAAGCGGTGTCGTCGGCTGGTTTGAAAGCTGATTTTCTCCTAGCTGGGACGGGTGTCACGTCTGCACCCGGCCGCTCAGGCTGCATCCACGCTTCGCGAGCATAAGCGACTGCAGTCTGTCCCGCTTGCAAGCTGTGGACCAGGTCGTCGTGGAATGCCAGCTGAATGCAAGCCCCTGGCAGTCTTGACATACGTGTTTGAAAATCTGTGGCTGCAGCCGCACAGGCTTCCTCGACCAGAGGGTCAGTGTGCGTGAAGGGGATAAAGACAAGCTGCAAGTCCACCGGGCCTGTCAACTCGGTAGGTTGGGCTCTGCCGTCTCTACCCTGTTGCTTTCCGCCACCCCCTCGCAGGGAACGCTCTCCCTGATGGCCGGACTTCGGGCGCAAATTAGGCTGCAGGCAAGTGAGAAGGGAGCACAAAGGAAGCAAGCACCCAAGGTGCTCCAATGTACAGCACGGCAAGACTTCTCGAGGTCTTCTGTTGGCTTCCACGCCAAGTGCGCAAGGGACACTGCCGATGCCTTGGTCTCTGTTGGAAAGGAGTTAAAGGAGATGCACTTCGGGCTTAGGTTTTGAATCAGAATAAAGGGTTCAGAGATTCGGGCTTTCGATCGGCTCCTGCATAAAAAGATTAAGAACACCAACCCGCAAAAAGCAAACAAAAAAGGATCCCTTTATAGAACCGCATGGAGAACGTTACACAACCCTATAAATCCACACAGAACCTCAGTAGAATCCGTACAAAAGCCGAAGGAAAACTGTGACCAAGAGGGGTTGGGCTATGACTGTGAGACCTGTGCGACTAGGCCCTAAAGCCTCATAGAACCGTCAAGCGAATCCTTATGAAAGGAGTAAGAGTTAGGAAAGCACCCGCCTGTTCGAAAAGGTATAGAC